CCGCCCCAGCTGTTCGAAGCGGTGTTTGACTTAATGACCATCAGGTGAGGTCAGGTCACGACAGCTGTCCCAAGTAGGCTCTGACTAATGACTTTCAGGTGAGGTCAGGTCAAGACAGAAAATGGTGAGAGAAGAATTTAATGAGTGAATATTCATGAAAAGAATAAAATCACGAGCGCGCTAAATTCGATACAATTGAAACAATATAATTTAATCACGAAAAAAATAAATAGACACTTAATAAATGAACGATTTCATAATGTTTAACTCCATACCGCGATTGACAATAATGAGAAGTGAGGTCAGAGACACGGCCTAACATATTTAGGGAAAAATAGAAAGGAAATGAAAAGAGATGGGGCCCAAAATGTGTACTCACGGTTTCAAGATGTCCTATAGTATATTGTATAATGGATATACATTTATATAAATACATATATATATATATATATATATATATATATATATATATATATATATATATATATATATATGTATTTATATAAATGTATATACATTATAAAATATATATATGTATATATATATATATGTATTTATATAAATGTATATACATTATAAAATATATATATATATATATATATATATATATATATATATATATATATATATATATATATATGTATAAAGAAATTAGTTCAAAATTTGCGGATTGGGACTCTCAATGTTGGAACAATGACGGGAAGAGGTCGTGATATGGTAAACCTCATGATGGAAAGGAAAGTGGATATACTGTGCGTGCAAGAAACGAGATGGACAGGAAACAAGGCAAAAGAACTTGGTGAGGGATTTAAATTAATATATGGAGGAGCTGACAACAATAAAAGAAATGGTATAGGAATTACATTATCCCGAGATTTGAAGGACTTGGTTACAGAAGTGAACAGGAGAAATGATCGGATTATGTGGGTGCGGCTGGCGCTAGAGAATTTTTCAGTAAATATTTTCAGTGTATATGCGCCGCAAACGGGATGTACAGAGGAAGAAAAGATACAATTTTGGACTGCTCTGCAAGAAGAAATGGAAAAGGTTGATGAAAGTGAAAGATGCATAGTTGGAGGAGACATGAATGGACATATTGGAAGTGGATATGATGCAATCAGCCGGATACATGGGGGAAATGTGTATGGAGATGGAAAGGAGGATGGAGAGAAGATAATTGACTTTGCTTTATCCTTAGACATGGTGATCGGAAATACTCTATTTCGTAAGAGAAATGAACACCTAATTACTTACCGTAGTGGAGAGCAAGCAAGTCAGATAGACTTCTTCCTCTACCGCCGTAGAAACATCAAGGAGATTAAAAACTGCAAGGTAATACCGAGTGATCATGTGACGTTACAGCATCGGTTGGTAGCCATCGACCTCGCCATTGCTGTGACACAAAGGCAGAAAAGGAAAGTAACCACGGAGAAAAGAATAAAGTGGTTCAAACTGAAAGATCATGACCTAAAGCAGCAGTTTAAAGACCGAGTTCTAAGAGATATTGACCTGGAAATCGAGGATGTCAACGAATGGTGGAACAGAGTGAGTGCAAACATCATCGGAACTGGGAAAGAAGTGCTTGGTGAGAGTAGTGGCAAAATTTGGGAAGATAGAGAAGCGTGGTGGTTCATTGAAGAAGTTCAAGAGAAAGTGAAAACTAAGAAGATTGCCTAGAAAAGATGGGAAGAAACCAAACTAGATCACGATAGAGAAAACTACAAAGAGTACTGTAAGGAGGCAAAAAGAGCTGTTGCAATCGCGAAAGCAAAAGCGTACGATAGACTATATGAAGAGTTAGACACTAAAGAAGGACAGGGGAAGGTTTTCAAGTTGGCAAAACAAAGAAATAAGAGCGCAAAGGATATCAAACATATAAGACAGATGAAGGATGAAAGAGGAATAGTGTTAAGAAAGGAAAGAGAGATTTTGATGAGGTGGAAAGATTACTTTGAAAAGTTACTGAACGAAGAAAATGAAAGGTTCCTGAGAGAAGATGGAGAACCAAACAACCAAGAGGTAGCAGAAGTGACAAGACAGGAGGTGATCATACCACTGAAGAAGATGAAGAATGGTAAATTGACAGGGCCAGATAGCATACCGGTTGAAGTTTGGAAGGCGCTAGATGGAGACGAGTTGACATATTGCATCAACTCATGAACGAAATAATGGAAAAAGAAGTCATACCAGGGAAGTGGAGAGAGAGTGTCTTAATACCGATCTTTAAAGAGAAAGGAGATATACAAAGTTGGGAAAACTATCGGGGTATTAAGTTGATGAGTTTTCTCCATGTATTCCTGATGTTTACCATCCCTCTATCTATATTTTTCTCCCTTAGATCTCTGTTTATACAATCTATCCATCTAGTTTTAGGTCTCCCTCTTCTTCTGTTTCCTTGAATTGCCATCTCCATGACTTCTCTTCCAATATGATCTTCGCCAACTCTTCTTCTCAAATGTCCAAACCATCTCAATCTTGACTCTTGAATCTTCTTTGACAC